TAGTTAACATGTAAACAAAGAGGATTCTGAACCCCACCAACAATGGAATTGAACCAAAGTTGGCACAGAAAATTCCCATGATCAACAGAAAATACTGGAAGGACTTGGTGGGCATTGAACTTGAGTATGGGAGTTGTAGTTCGCCTACATCCAGAGAGCACTATGGGCTCAAACAATGATGGATCTGGACCAAACTTGGCACGGATACTCAATATGCCCAAATGTGAACACTGATGCGGTTTGGGGAAAATAGACTTTGACATTTGGGAGTTGTAGATACTGGAATTTATAGTTCACCTACAATCAAGACCATTCTGAACCCCACCAAGGATAGAATTGGGCCAAACTTCCCACACAGAACCCCATGACTAACAGCAAATACTGTGTTTTCTGATGGTCTTTGGTGACCCCTCTGACACCCCCTCATGACCCCCTAGGGGTCTCGGGCCTTAGTGTGAGGACCCCTGCTCTAGGTGCTCTAACTGCCTATTACAGGGAAAACCAACTGATCCCTAATCCATCTAAAACACAGACATGTGCCTTTCACCTTAAGAACAGACAAGCATCCCGAGCTCTGAGGATTACCTGGGAAGGAATCCCACTGGAGCATTGCAGTGCACCCAAATACCTGGGAGTCACTTTGGACCGTGCTCTGACCTACAAGAAGCACTGCCTGAACATCAAGCAAAAAGTGGGTGCTAGAAACAACATCATACGAAAGCTGACTGGCACAACCTGGGGATCACAACCAGACACAGTGAAGACATCTGCCCTTGCGCTATGCTACTCTGCTGCTGAGTACGCATGCCCAGTGTGGAACACATCTCACCACACTAAAACAGTGGATGTGGCTCTTAATGAGACATGCCGCATTATCACGGTGTCTGCGCCCTACACCACTGGAGAAATTACACTGCTTAGCCGGTATTGCACCACCTGACATCCGCCGGGAAGTAGCAGCCAATAGTGAAAGGACCAAGGCAGAGACATCTCCAGCTCATCCCTTGTTTGGGTATCAGCCAGCACGTCAACGACTTAAATCAAGACATAGTTTTCTTAGATCTACAGAGACACTCGCTGGAACACCCCAGCAAGCGAGAGTCCAAAAGTGGCAGGCCCAAACCCAGCACCTCAATCATGGGTGATACCAGATGAGAGACTCCCCCCTGGGCACTCAGAAGACTGGGCGACTTGGAAGGCGCTGAACAGACTGCGCTCTGGCACCACGAGATGCAGAGCCAATCTTAAGAAATGGGGCTACAGGGTGGAATCCTCGGCATGCGAGTGCGGAGAAGAACAAACCACTGACCACCTGCTGCAATGCAACCTGAGCCCTGCCACATGCACAATGGAGGACCTTCTTGCGGCAACCCCAGAGGCACTCCAAGTGGCCAGATACTGGTCAAAGGACATTTAACCAAATACCAAATTTGCAAAATATGTGTGGGTTTTTCTCCCTTTTTTTTCTTCTTCTTTTTCTTTTTAATCTCTGTGTTTGTTTTGCTCTGTTAGAATTGTAATACAATGGTTGCTGATGACACGATAAATACATAAAATAAATAACTTGAGACTGTAGGAGGGGAGAAATTCATCTTATGGAATTTAATTTAACTTATAGGTGAGACCTAAGGACTTCTCAAAATGCTTAAAACGAAATGCAAACTTGAAAAGTTTCTAGCTGCTCTTGGAATGGTGTATTTCCAGTCCAACAATGGCAGCCAGTGGCAGAATGTGAAGCCTGAGGTTCAGGGCATTTCTCACCATCATCCACCATAATTCAGGCATCACAAATTAGAAGTTGCTGTTAGCTTTGCAACTTTAGATGTTCTTAAAGTAAGAGAAAATGAGGGTTGCGAAAATTGTAGCAGTAGTAAAAGGTTTCTGAATGCCACCCAGTGGCTGTTTTAGACATTTACAGCGCTGGCAACAATGTGCAGTGTTTACAGTGAACTCTGCAGAGATGCTTCAGCTGTGCTTCGTAAAAAAGAGAACCAGCCTGCTTAGCAAGCCTTGCAAAAGATGATTTATTGCTTGATTTTGTACCTATTTATATACCTACTAGCTGTCCCCTGCCACGCGTTGCTGTGGCCCAGTCTGTTGATCTGGAAAATAAAATAATGAGAAAGTGTTGGTTTCTAATATATGTAATTTCTTTATACTTGTGGGTAAAAAGTATTTCTTCCTGCTTCTTTATCAGTGTTGATGTGGAGAGTGTCTGGTTTGCCTACCCTGGAACATGCAAGATATTGTCCTTCTTTAATGGTCCCTTTCATATCTATGATACTATATATATCTCTGTGTGAATCATATCTATCTATCAATCTATATCTATGGCTGGATGGCTCTTTGTCAGGAGAACTTTGATTACGTTTTCTTGCCCTGATGAAGGGAGTTGGATAGGATGGCCTTAAGTATTTTCTGTTGGTCATGGGGGTTCTGTGTGGGAAGTTTGCCTCAATTCTGTCGTTCGTGAGGTTCAGAACGCTCTTTGGTTGTAGGTGACCTGTGAATCCCAGTGACTACAACTCCCAAATGTCAAGATTCTATTTTCCCCAAACTCCACCAGTGTTCACATTTGGGCATATTGAGTATTTGTGTAGAGTTTGGTCCAGATCCATCGTTGTTTGAGTCCTCTCTGGATGTAGGTGAGCTACAAGTCCCAAACTCAAGGTCAATGCCCATCAAACCCTTCCAGAATTTTCTGTTGGTCATGGGAGTTCTGTGTGACAAGTTTGATTCAATTCCATCGTTGATGGAGCTCAGAATGCTCTTTGATTGTAGGTGAACTATAAATCCCAGCAACTACAACTCCCAAATGACAAAATCATAATTTTTTGAGTGATGGTCACTCCTTGTGTTGTGAGACATTTTGTTGCCAAATTTTGTGTGATTTCGTTCATTGGTTCTTTTGTTTTTAAGGTACTCATTATGCACAGAGGATAGATAGATAGATAGATAGATAGATAGATAGATAGATAGATAGATAGATAGATAGATAGATAGATAGATAGAGCCAGGATCGTGTAAAAGTTCTCAAGCAGAAAAGGGTCATGAGTGGAAAAAATAGAGAAGAAAACCTTGTTATAAACAACAGCCTTTTGAAAAGGCTCCAGGATCAACTCCTGGACTCACAGGCTTTTGGATATCAAATTCCTTCCTCTTTTAGAATAACTTTGCCAGCCGTAGAGCAGCTGGTGTTTCTCCTGTAAGCTGTAAAATGCAGATTGTTTTGGGTTGTTTTAAGATTTACTGTGGGTATTACGTTTACTGGCTCGAGTATTATTCCTTCCTCTTTCTTGGCAGGCTGTGCCAGGCTTATTTGTCTTTCTTTTGGTTACCAATAAAACCCTAATTTCATCCTGGTCCAAAGGGACAATTCATGAAAACTGTGGGGTGGGGGTTGCATTCACTGTAAGATAGAAATCCTCACATCACTTGGAACATAAAACATCCCTGGAGGGATAAAAATTGTGCAAGAGACAAAAGACTGCAGCTGCTCCTAACTGCTCCCAATGCATCTAAAATACTTCCATGTTCCCTTTCATTGCTGCCAACATCAATAACTGCTATGTGGGGAAATGAGTCAGGCTTAAATCAGAGCCTGAAACAAATCTGAACAGTTCATTAAAAAAATACATTGAAGGCAGGATACAAAACTATTTCACAGCATGGCTTGGGAGCAAGGGAGCCGCATCTCTTCCTTTAAGGGCAACAGTTCATTTTCATTTGGACTGAAACATCAGTTGATTTGGAGAAAAAGACAGCATGCTATAGCTGCCACATTTTGACTGAGCCCAGGACACTGATTGAACTTCCATCTGAAATTCCTTTTCAAATGGGATCCTCACAGTATTTTTTAAAATGGGGTTTTTGACCTCTGCATTTTGCTACTCATTATTCTTCTATAGTAGCAATTAGACACATCTACCTGGACCTATAAACAGAACAGACTGATAGGGAATGTTTAAAAATGAAATAAAATATATAGTTGCAATTATAACTCAGTTTACGCCATAGTCTTACTGAAATCGTTCTGAAAAATAATTGTTTTCTTCCTCTGAAACCTCCAAGCAATGAAAGCCCAATGCTGTTGGCTCTGATGAATGCCCCAATATAACCTTCCAGGGAGTGAATCTCTTGGAAACAGGTTGAAATAAGGGATGAGCCTATTTAGAGGCAAGCAGTGCTGCTCCCATTTCTTCCAAAGATCTAATGTGGTGCTTCTACTGATTGCTTGAAAACTCATATCATTACAGCATTCCATTGTCTCATGAAAAATTCTGAAACCGTCTGCAGTTCAAACACAACTGTGGTAGGAGCATGGTGGCTAGTTGTTTAAAATATCTAGTCAAAAACATCATTAATCTAATGCAAGCCCTTGCATGAGCCTGAATGGTTCTTAGTTCCCCCAAACAGAACTGCTTTGGCAATTCATTTAAGGCTTTGGTTTTTGGTGTTTTTTTTAAATGGCATTCACAACCATTTTGAGATCATAACCTTTTTGAAAAGTTTGATCTTTCAGAGAAGAGCTAAAAACCCGTTTGAGTAGAATCTTCTCATATGGTATACAACCAAATGCAATATGCAAGGCAATTGGCTTCAGTTGTTAGACTAAACCTATTGTCTGTGATCTGTTAGGAAAACAGAAAATATGCCAGTGCATAAAAACAGCAGAGTTTAGAAGTGTTCTTTAGTACCGAAAAATATTTATCTACTCTTCCATGAAACTACTAATTTTATATCATGCACGCAAGAGACAAAAATGAAGTAGGCTTTGGTAAAATAATATATTTGGTTCATCGTAACACAGGTACATAGCTTATCAGTTCAGTTTCAGATTTACTTCAGATAATCTCTGTCCTTTCTGACCAGGAACATCTCTCCTACAAACATCAAGCAAATGTCGGTCTGAGCAGTCCAGAGTCCAAGAATCTAAAATGGAGTCTGAAGTCTGAGCAGTCTCAGATCAGTTCAGATCATCTCCACCCCCCGCCCCCCAACCTCTCAGGAAGCAAAAGCTGCTGCATACCAGAACAAACATACAAAATAGTAAGCAAACAGAATCATAGATTAACAAATTACTAGAGGAGGCTTGAAGAAGGTTGCAATTTCCATCAAAATTCAGATTCAGAATTGGTATTCATGGTAGTTTAAATCTTGCAGTATCCTAAAAAAAATCCTGGTTGAAATCCAATGTGATACTTGTGGCAGCAACAGAATTTCTCAACTATTGGGCCTCCACTGTAGGGCCAGAAAAAGTCAGCGACTCTCAACTTACTAAACAGGATTTCAGGGAACATGGAGAACGGCTGACTGTCCATAGGGGCATCTGATTCCTCCCTCTAAAAATAAGTTTTCAAAGTATTAAAATCTAAGTTCTTGGAAAATATAGCTTAGTCTTCTATGCAGATGATACAACTCACTCAAAGGCACTGAACTCTGTATCTGTAAAAAAAATGTCGTTTTATTGATTGTACCACATTCTTTATTGCCTAATTGTTGAACATGAGAAACAGGGAGACAGGCACTCTGTTTAGCAAAAGTGCTAAGAGGTACAATTTCCTCTGCCAACAGATCTTCTGCATAAAAGAAAGAACCGGTCCATGGAACAAAGACACCAGTGGTAAAACCAGCAGATTTTGATCAGCTAAGTAGTTAACCATGACATGGTGGAGAGTCCTGTTGCTTAATCCATTCCTGGATTAAATGATGGGCTATGGCTCGCTTAGGCGGCACCCAAAAGGTGAGACTGTTGTCCTTTGCTTTGGAAGGTTTCCTTCCAAGGGCCTCCACCACCTCCTCACGGCTGAACCATCTGGCCGCTTCCAGCTCCTGTTTGTTGATACTAATCTGCAAAGGAAATTTTTTCAAATCAAATAACAAGATCAAATACCTGCAGTAGCCTAATGAGAGTAAAAGCAGCATTTGGGCAGAGACTGAGATACTTCTGACAAAAATCCAACCAATGACTAGACTTTACACTACTATATCTGTTCCCATCCTCACATGCAATATGAAGAATAATGCTCTCAGTCCATTTGATGGACTGGCTGTACCCCCCATGGTGCAATGGGTTAAACCATTGTACTGGCAGGACTGCTGACCAATAGGTCAGCGGGTCAAATCCAGGGAGAGCAGGTTGAGCTTTCTCTATCAGCTCCAGCTCCCCATGCAGGGACATGAGAGAAGCCTCCCACAAGGATGGTAAAACATCAAACATCCTGGCATCTCCTTGGCAACGTCCTTGCAGACGGCAGTTCTCTCACACCAGAAGTGACTTGCAGTTTCACAAGTTGCTCCTGACACGAAAAAAATGGAATTGTTGCAGTGATCACCGAGGTCCTGTATATTATGTGCTCTGACCAAGCGAAAAGCAACATATTATTCTGCAGCTCAATGGCTCCATGTGGCCCTCTTTGGGATCCCCATTAACTCTACCAAAGTTAGTGCTATCCCCACAATCTTTGGGCTAGGAAGAATATTGTTAAAGGATTTTAAAAAATAGTTGGGCTGTGATGTGCTCTTTTAAGGGGAACCCAATTCAAAACAGTCAGCACCCACCCACACAGAATAATCAAGAAGAATAGGTTAGTTACCCAAAACCACACACTTAGATCAAGGATGGGGCCCTACATTTTTTCCAGATGTTACTGGACTACAGCTTCCATCATCCTCAGTCATTAGCCACACTGCCTAAGACTCCAGTTGGAGCCCAACATGGTATGTCTTTCTCTACCCTTGATCTAAATCAGGGGTCCTCAAACTTTTTAAACAGAGGGCCAGGTCACAGTCCCTCAAACTGTTGGAGAGCTGGATTATAATTTGAAAAAAACTTGAATGAATTCCTATGCACACTGCACATATCTTATTTGTAGTGCAAAAAACCCCACTTAAAAACAATGCAATAATTAAAATAAAGAACAATTTTAACAAATATAAACTTAATAGTATTTCAATGGGAAGTGTGGGCCTGCTTTTGGCTGATGAGATCCGATTGTTGTTGTTGTATGCTTTCAAGTCATTTCAGACTTAGGCTGACCCTGAGCGAGGGTCAGGTAAATGACCTTGGAGGACTGTATCTGCCCCCCGGGCCTTAGTTTGAGGACCCCTCATTTAGATAAATTGTCCAGTCAACAAATGTTGATTTTGTAGCCCCTACAGTAAAATAAATGAACCAAACAAAAAAAAGTCCTTCTGCTGCTGGGCTGTACCTCGCTCTGCTGCGGAGGCACCTGAGCATGGCAGGCGATCATGAGGGTGCTGTGTGGAAATGGCCAATGTTGGGAAGCAGAATACCACAGAGAGGCCACCTCTAAGCCCACCTCCTCAGCAACTTCCCTGCGCACAGTTTCTTCCAAAGTTTCACCTAGAAGCAGAGAGCAAAGGAAAGGAAACCTTGACATCCCGAGAGAGGGTTATCAACGTTGTTTGTGGATAAGCACTGAAATTTATCTCATGACATCCCAAAATGAAGACAAGAACCCTTGCATGGAGTGAAGAACAACTACAATCAGGTTATTAACTTGTTTTACTTATATAAATATATGAATTATATATGCGTGACCGCATCTCCGTATACGAACCCACACGATCTCTCTGATCATCTGGAGAGGCCCTGCTCACGATCCCACCTGCGTCGCAAGAGCGTTTGGTGGGACGAGGGACAGGGCCTACTCTGTGTTGGCCCCCCCCGACTCTCTCCCAAAGGACATCAGACAAGCCCCAACGTTGGCAGTCTTTAGGAAGAGCTTGAAGACGTGGCTGTTCCAGTGTGCCTTCCCAGAATAGGAAACTCCTAGCATCATGCCCCAAATGCACTTTATTAGAGATTTAAGATTGTCTGCACACTGCACCTATCTCCAAAAACCTATCCATTTCACCTGTCATGTCCAGCATTTTTAAATTTTATTCATTGCATTTGGCCCGGCGTAGTTTTAAATGTGTCGTGGTTTTATTGTCTAATGTTTATTGCTATTGTTTTAATGTTTATTGCTTTGCTTTACGAGTTAATTTTTGTTGTATTGTTATGTTGTTGTTTATTGATGTGTTGGGCCTTGGCCTCTTGTAAGCCGCACCGAGTCCTTTGGGAGATGTTAGCGGGGTATAAATAAAGATAATAATAATAATAATAATAATAATAATAATAATAATATCCCATGTTTTTTTCTTCAGACCCTCAACAGATAGATTAAATATTATCTACTGGCCACATTTACTCTCTTCCCCTTCCTTCCCAACTTCCTTCCTTCTCAGTACTGCCCCATAGCCCATCATTAAATATGACATTAACCCAATTGTCACCTCATTCCTTACCTACATCACAGAAGCCAGACAGAGCACTGTACATCCCTTTGGGAAATGATGCTTGCCGTACAAGAAGGCATCGACTTCCATCTGACACCAAAGTAATAACTACTGGAGACATCTAAAAGTAACCAAAGAAAAAGAGGGATGACATTCTGTAAGGCAGTTACATCAGGATCAATTGACATGCTTGAAGTCAACATTTCATTTATTTGTAATTAGAAATAAATGTTTCACAATATATAAAATAAATGTTTCACAATATTCCCGTGTAAACTATAGTCTGGCCCTCCAACAGTCTGAGGGACAGTGAACTGGCCCCTTGTTCAAAAAGTTTGAGGACCCCTGACTTAGAGTCACCATATGTTGGAAATGATTTGAAGGCACAACAACAAGGTATCCAGGTTAGGAAAGATGCCTTTGGGAGAGGTTCCCTTTCCCGTCTGTCGGATGCCCACCTGTGGGTAATAGATGGTTCCACTGTGGTCACAAACCCGTTTGCTCCCAGCCAGATTCTTCATTGTGGGCATCCCAGTTTGGCTGCAGTACTTGTGGTTGTCATGCCAGCGGAGGAGAGCCTTTGCCTTTCAACACAGATAGACATAGTCAGGTCGTGAAGGACTTTAGAAATTACTGTAAGCCCCTTCTGAAAATGTTTTTCCTTTCCCTCATGTAAATCAAACTTCAATTCGTTCACAAAAAGACAATGAAATTGTTCACTTGACATATCCTTCTACTCCAACTATATCTTTTCAGCTAAGTGGAGAAAGAATGATTTTCTGAAGGTCATCTTCATGGCCAAAAGGTGACCCAAGACTTCTACATCCACTACATATAGAGGCTCTACAAGATTGTGTACTTTCTTTTATTTAAGAAAATACGAGGGGTATTTTTAAAGTAAGGTCCGTTGGAACGTAAGTACACAATGAAAGTTTATTTCAAAAAAGTAAATTTATTTTCAGAAAGTACATACTTCACTCTATTTTTCGACATAGTTGCCAAGTTTGTTCAAACACTTATCATACCTCTGAACCAATTTTAAAATACCCTCTTCATAAAAACTTGCCGCCTGCTCCGACAACCAAATCATCTGTAATCAAAGAAGGGCGACCGGAGCGGTCCTCATCATGGACGTTGTCACGGCCATCTTTGAATTGTCGTACCCACTTACGCACTTTGCTTTCACTCATAACAGTATCACCGTACACTTCACAAATCTGTCGATGAATTTCTGCAGCAGGCAGGTTCCTTGCTGACAAAAACCGTACCACTGAGCGAACCTCACATGCGGAGGGTGAGTTGATAGTCTTAAACATTTTTAAAGCACAGAACAGAACCGTACAGGTTAGCTACAGAGCGGAAACTGAGCACAGTTGTTCCCGAGGCATGCCGGTACACGACGCACGCGCTCGTTGCGGTATGCGTGCGAACTACTAGTGTCTACAACAAAACGGACCTTACTTAAAAAATACCCCTCGTATTTTTGGAAATAATATGACAGCAATGACCATTTTAGAAAGCAGATACTGATCGTATACAACATGCAGTCTGTTTTATATCATTCACAGCAGTTTTCACATATTGGTTATAGAAAAGTAGCTTTGGATATTGCTCATTTCATATATTTCAATCTGTTTTACAACCACAAACTGCCCAGCTTTTTTAGCCATTCTCCTCAATAGTTACACTGTTCCAGAAACAGAGTGCCACAGGATATTAATCTGTGGACACCTACTCTATAGATTTCTCTCTTTTGGGTTTGTTTCCATTTCTACATCTCTTCCTCCTCAGAGCTATCATAGAATCACAGAGTTGGAAGAGACCACAAGGGCCATGCAGTCCAACCCCATTCAGGTGGCCACCCACAGATGGCACCCTGACAGATGGTCATCCAGCCTCAAAACCTCCAGAGAAGGAGACTACACAACACTCCGAGGCAGTGTATACTCATCCTCGTTTGTATCATTTTTTGTACCACCCAGATGTTTAAGTTAATATGTGATTGTGTTGTAAGGCCCCATACTGAAGAAGTGTGGCCAAAGGGTACCCTTAAGAGTTTTGCTGCAAACAATGAAGTTGAGCTTCTTATCTCTGGCCAGCTCACCTCTCACTTTTGTGTGTGTACGTGTGTGTTTTATATTAACGTATTGCTTTGCTGTGTATAGGCCTCAGGTTTGTTGTGCTTCAGCAGCAGCTGTGCGGGAGGAAAAACTCTTGAGTGTGCAATGTAAAGCATGCTGAGGCCTTTTCCTTGTTTCTCTCAGAATGCAGCCTTTGCTGCAAGGGAAAATTGAAATATATATTTTTTTAAACTGCCAGGACTCAGTCTAGCAAACTGTGTGTGTTGTAGTTTCGCAGTATCTTTAAACTTTTCTGTACACGAGTGCAGGTGCCTCACCAAAGCTACAACTCCTATGATTCCACAGCATTGAACCATGGCAGTTAAACTGGTGTCAAAAGGCATCAATTCTACAGTGTAGATGCACTCTGGACTCTCCTTTGTAGTAGTAATAGTAATAATAATAATAATAATAATCTTTTATTTATACTCTGCCACCATCTCTCATAGGGACTCAGGGCAGCTTACAAAGACCATACAGCATCTATATAAATTAAAATGTAATGTTTGTTTGTGGGATTAACATAACTCAGAAACCGCTGGATGAATTGACACGAAATTATGACACAATACACCTAATAGTCCAGCGAGTGTTCATCAACCCTAAAAATACAACCCCCCCCTCAGAATGGACTAAAAAACCCCTAAATACACACACACACATATATATATACACATACATACACACACACATACACTCATATACATATACACATGCACACACAAATATACACATGCACACATACATACACATATAAACACAAATACGCACAGACAAGAACGCACATATACACAATATACATATACACGTATAAACACACAAATATATACACACATATCTACATATCTACACACACATATGCACACACATATATGCACCCGTGTGTGTGTGTCTGTGTGTGTGTGTATATATATATACACACACATACACACATATGCAAACACACATATATACACAAATGCACAAATATATACACACACACAAAATACATATATACAGACTGAGCCACAGCGATGTGTGGCAGGGGACGGCTAGTATAAAATACAATGCATCAACATTAAAACCAATAACACATTCAAAAGCAGACATATAAAGTTGCTGTGAGTTTTCCTGGCTGTATGGCCACGTACCAGAAGCAGAGAATGCTTCTGGAACATGCCCATACAGCCCAGAAAACTAAACATGCACAAAAATGTTGGTGCCATCTTTCACAAAGCTCCTCCATGAAGGGAAACGGTGAGGAAGCATTCAAATCATATAATTCATGAATTTAGTAACAAACTATAGTTAACATAAACCAGTGTTTCTCAACCTGGGAGTCGGGACCCCGGGTGTGTGTGTGTGTGTGTGTGTGTGTGTATGTGTGTGTGAGGGTGTTTCACAGGGGTCACCAAAGACAGTCAAATAACATATTTCTGATGGTCTTAGGAACCCCTTTGGCAGAGAAAGCTGAAGATCTCTCCGCCTGTCCTTCTCTTCCTTTTTGGAAACAGATGGCAAATCCTCCCACCAAAAGCCCTCCTCCGCTGTGATTGGCGGGCCTCTCAGCCAAGGGGAGGGCTGCTTCTGAGACTCCAAGCAGGGGAGAGGAGAGCAGGCAAGCTCGGTGCATGGCAGTGTGGCGCGCATGTGTGGGCGAGGGAGAGCGTGTGAGGTTGGAGAGAGGCTCGCGCCAGCAAGTCCATACAAGGCATGGCTTTTATGTGTGGGACCTCATAACCTCTAAGGATGCTTGTCATAGATGTAGGCCAAATGTCAGGAGAGAATGCTTCTAGAACTGTTTCTCAACCTGGGGGTCGGGACCCCTGAGGGGGTCGCGAAGGGGTGTCAGAGGGGTCGCCAAAGACCATCAGAAAACACAGTATTTTCTGTTGGTCATGGGGGTTCTGTGTGGGAAGTTTGGCCCAATTCTATCATTGGTGGGGTTCAGAACGCTCCTTGATTGTAGGTGAACTATAAATCCCAGTATCTACAACTCCCAAATGTCAAAGTCTATGTTCCCCAAACCCCATCAGTGTTCACATTTGGGCATACTGAGTTTGGTCCAGATCCATCATTGTTTGAGCCCACAGTGCTCTCTGGATGTAGGCGAACTACAACTCCCAAACTCAAGGTCAACGCCCACCAAACCCTTCCAGTATTTTCTGTTGATCATGGGAGTCCTCTGTGCCAACTTTGGTTCAATTCCATTGTTGGTGGGGTTCAGAATGCTCTTTGTTTACATATTAACTATAAATCCCAGCAACTACAACTCCCAAATGACAAAATCAATCCCCCCGCCAACCCCACCAGTATTCAAATTTGGGCATACCGGGTATTTGTGCCAAATTTGCTCCAGTGAATGAAAATACATCCTGCAGATCATTATTTACATGGCGATTCATAATGTTAGGGTTATGGTTGGGGGTCACCACAACATGAGGAACCGTATTAAGGGGTCGCAGCATTAGGAAGGTTGAGAACCACTGTTCTAGAACATGGCCATACAGCCCGAAAAACCTACAGCAAGCCAGTGATTCCAGCCATGAAAGCCTTCGACAATACACTGTGTGTGAGAAGTTTGGCCCAATTCTATCATTGGTGGGGTTCATAATGTTCTTTGATTGTAGGTGAACGATAAATCCCAAATATCAAGGTCTATTTTCTCCAAGCTCCACCAGTGTTCACATTTGGGCATATTGGGTTTTTGTGCCAAATTTGGTCCCATGGATGAAAATACATCCTGCGTGTCAGATATTTACATTACCATTCATAATAGTAGCAAAATTACGAAAATAATGTTATTGTTGGGGGTCACCACAACATGAGGAACTGTATTAAGGGGTCCCGGCATTGGGACGGTTGAGAAACACTGACATAAGCCATGGTTTAGCATGATGTGCAAACATGCTCTCAGAATTTACATGTAAAACCATACCGTTGAAATCAATGATACTTCTTCTTCTTCTAACTGGAAGAAGGCCTTCCGAAAGTCTGTGAATGACCCATTGAATTTTGATTCAATGGAAGCCTTGTCCAACCATCCTGGAATTCAATAAATCTGTAGAAATCAGATTGCGCAGTTATTACCCCGCCCCACACCCTTGATGTTCTATCAATAACTATAATTATATCTCTCTTGCTATCACAAAGGTTGCAATACCATACACCAGAAGTCCCCAAACAACGGCCCGCGGGCCACACCCACCCGGCGCCGCTCCGTCAATTGCGGACACCCTCTGCTCCGGCCGCTCTGCCTGTGTGGGAGGGAGAAGCCTCCCAGGTGGGTCCTCTGCAGAGCAGAGCGGCTGGAGCAGAGGGTGTCCGCAATTGATGGAGCGGCGCTGGGTGGGCGTGGCCAGGGAACGCCGGCGTGGTGAAGGCAGGTGAACTACAACTCCAAAACTCAAGGTCAATGCCCACTAAACCCAGTATTTTCTGTTGTTCATGGGAGTTCTGTGTACCAAGACTGGTTCAATTCCATCATTGGTGGAGTTCAGAATGCTCTTTGATTGAACTATAAATCCCAGCAAATACAACCCCCAAACGCCACCAGTGTTCACATTTGGACATATTGAGTATCAGTGCCAAGTTTGGTCCAGATCTATCATTGAGTCCACAGTGATTTATGGAGGCAGGTGAACTACAACTCCAAAACCAAAGGACACTGCCCACCAAACCCTTCCAGTATTTTCTGTTGGTCATGGGAGAACTGTGTGCCAAGTTTGGTTCAATTCCATCGTTGGTGGGGTTCAGAATGCTCTTGATTGTAGGTGAACTATAAATCCCAGCAACTACAATTCCCAAATGTCAAGATTCTATTTTCCCCAAACTCCACCAGTGTTCACATTTGGGCATATTGAGTATTTGTGCCAAGTTTGATCCCGATCCATCATTGTTTGAGTCCACAATGATCTCTGAATGTAGGTGAACTACAACTCCAAAACGAAAGGACACTGCCCACCAAACCCTTCCAGTATTTTCAGTTGGTCATGGGAGAAATGTGTGCCAAGTTTGGTTCAATTCCATCGTTGGTGGGGTTCAAAATGCTCTGTGATTGTAGTTGAACTATAAATCCCAGCAACTACAACTCCCAAATGACAAAATCAATTTTGTGTGAAGGACATACATTGGGTTGTTAGGTGTCTTGTGTCCAAAATTGGTGTCAATTCGTCCAGTGGTTTTTGAGTTCTGTTAATCCCACAAACGAACATTACATTTTTATTTATATAGAAGTGTGGGTTTTTGTTTTTTTTTTTTGGGGGGGGGGGGTTGCACTGCAAATAATATATGTGCAGAGTGCATAGGAATTCATTCATTTTTTTTCCAAATTATTCCGGCCCTCCAACAGTTTGCGGAACTGTGACCCGGCCCTCTTTTCAAAAAGTTTGGGGACCCCTGCCATACACCTAACTGAGTGTTTTAAACTGGGATATTGGGATCACTTGGGGACTGCCTAAACTCAACTGTTAAGAGATTATAATACTAGTCATCGAAAAGATCCCTTTTGCTTTTGATATTGCGGATAAGGCATCGTATCCTGGAGAATACATAGAAACTGTTCTGGGATGGGTTGCCCATTCTCTTCCCTACCTCTGCATCTAACTTCAAAAAATAGGCTACATGGCAGAAATCCACTTGAAAGTGATCCATGCCTGTACCTTGGGAAGTCGGATCTGGCCACAGTGGTCCACGCTCTTGTTACATCCCGAATAGATTACTGCAACGCACTCTACATGGGGTTGCCTTTGAAGACTGTTCGGAAACTTCAACTAGTCCATCGGGCGGCAGCCAGATTACTCACCGGAGCATCATACAGGGAGCATACCACACCTCTGTTATGTCAGCTCCACTGGCTGCCGATCCAGTTCCGAGCACAATTCAAAGTGCTGGTTTTGACCTACAAAACCCTATACGGCTCCGGCCAGCGTACCTGTCCGAACGCATCTCCCTCTACGTCCCACCTCGGAGTTTGAGATCTTCTGGGGAGGCCCTGCTCTCGACCCCACCTCTATCACAAGTGAGATTGGTGGGGACGAGGAGCAGGGCCTTCTCGGTGGTGGCCCCTCACCTGTGGAATTCACTCCCCGGGGAAATTAGGTCATCGACATCCCTCCTTTCTTTCAGAAGGAAATTAAAAACATGGTTGTGGGACCAGGCTTTCGGGCAATCTGGCGATTAGATAAGGACAATGACGACCAGAATCGATGGTACTGACAATGTGGAATGAATTTACGGACTCTGAGATGGCGAATGCTGAGTTTTAGATTGTTTTTATTGATTTTGATGTATGAACTGACTGTCTTAATTGTTATAATTGCTGTTTACATGTTTTATCCATTGTTATGTTTATGCTGGCATCGAATTGTGCCTTTGTAAGCCGCCCTGAGTCCCCCCTCGGGGGTTGAGAAGGGCGGGGTAGAAATGCGGGAAACAATAAATAAATAAATTGGACTACTGTAATGCACTCTACGTGGGGCTGCCCTTGAAAACAGCCAGGAAATTTCAATTGGTTCAACGGGTGGTGGCCAGGTTGTTAACTGGTGCTCCTTACAGGGAGCAGTGTCATCCCTCCTGTTTAAGGAGCTCCACTGGCTGCCTTTCATCTACCGGACCCAATTCAAGGTGCAGGTTCTTACCTACAAAGCCCTGAACAGTTTGGGACCCGCCTACCTGCGTGACCGCATTTCTGTGTACGAACCCACATGATCTCTTCGATCATCTGGAGAGGCCCTGCTCACGCTCCCACCACCATCGCAAGCGCGATTGGTGGGGACGAGGGAGAGGGCCTTCTCGGTGGTGGCCCCCCGACTCTGGAACTCACTCCCCAAGGACATCAGGCATGCCTCAACTCTGGCAGTCTTTAGGAGGAGCCTGAAGATGTGGTTGTTCCAGTGTGCCTTCCCAGAAAAAGGAAACTCCCAGCAATATGTCCTCTAAATGCACTTTATTATTGATCTAGGAGTGTCTGCATGCCCATCCCTCTCTGAAAACTCTATCCTGGTTATATTTCACCTGTTTCATGCTCAGCATTATTTTTAAATTTTAACTATTACATTTGGCCCAGCCATAGGTTTTTAAACGTCGTTGTGTTACTGTTAATGTTTATTGCTTATTTTCTGTTATGAGTTTTATTTTTATTGTTTTGTATTACTTGTTAATGTTTATATTATTGATGCATTGTGGGCTTGGCCTCATGTAAGCCGCACCGAGTTCCTTGGGGAGATGGTAGGGGGGTATAAATAAAGTATTATTATTATTATTATTCCTGATGGTGTTATAGCTGTACCTCCATCTATCCTTAACTTATTCCTTTGTAAATGAATACAAAGCTTACAAAAAGTCGCAAGCATCTTTCCAAAGAAAACCAAGCTCAGGGACCTGCTAGCTTAAACTGACTTAAAAGGAGTGGGACTGACTTTATATGTGAAGAATGAAATGTAAATATAAAAACGAAACAAGATAAAATAAAACATGGAAGTACTTGATATCATGTATATTTTCATTTGGGGGTTGGGGTGGGGATCATCCACCAAGGCAACTGCAGTTGTCTCTGTTCTATAACCAGGAATGAAAACAGATTGGAATGGATCACAATTTAATTTCTTTTATCCATACACTTTCTATCTATTTTACCTTCTTGAGAGACACCTATAGTCTGGTTTTGAGAAAAAGGTCAGATAGAATTTAAATAAGGAAGGAATAAAACTAATAATAATAATAATAAACTTTATTTATACCCCGCCACCATCTCCCCAATGGGGACTTGGAGCAGCTTACATGGGGCCTAAAATTCATTTTATTCACATATTTTTGAGACTAGGTACCATATAGCTCATTGGGATTTCCTTCTGTGTATATGGTTGGGTGTCGGATGGCTGGCTATGAAACTCATTAGATTTTTTTTTTCATGTCAGAAGCAACTTAAGAAGCTGCAAGTTGCTTCTGGTGTGAGAAAATTTTCCGTCTGCAAGGACGTTGCCCAGGGGATGCCCGGATGTTTTACCATTCTATGGGAGGCTTCTCTTATGTCCCCACATGGGAAGCTGGAAAGATGACCTTGGAGAAGCCAGAGGTTGGATCTGCACTGCCATATAATGCTATTACAATCCGCTTTGTATGGTCAGTGTATACAAGTAAAAGGTCAGTGTATACTAAATAATGCAGTTCAATACTCTCTCCACCTCAAAGAAAAGCAAAGGCTGTGAGAGTGTGATGATAATGATAATGATTATAATAATAATAATAGTTTCTAAATGCTGGCTGAGATCTTTGGAAACAATAAACACTGACAAAATCACGATCTGTCAACTGCAAAAGGCCACCTTATTTGGATCTGCACGCATCATTCGAAAATACATCACACAGTCCTAGATCTTGGGAAGTGTTCGACTTGTGATTTTGTGATACGAAATCCAGCATATATATCTCATTTGCTGTGACATACTGTGGTTTTGTGTCAGTAAAATAACAACAACAACAACAACAAGGCTCTGGCATAAACCAGTTCAGGTGGTCCCAGTGGCCATTGGCACACTGGGTGCCGTACCAAAAGATTTCAGCCAGCATTTGGAAACAATCAACATTGACAAAATCACAGTCTGTCAACTGCAAAAGGCCACCTTTCTTGGATCTTTAAGAGGAGCTTGAAGACGTGGTTGTTCCAGTGTGCCTTCCCAGAATAATGATCCCATAGCACTTTGTCCTCTAAAGCACTTTATATATTTAGGTCTGCTCGTATGTTCCCACAAACTGCCCTATCACTTTTTCGTCCATGTCCAGCATTATTTTTTAATCTTTTAATTTTAATTACATTTGGCCTACCCATAGATTTTAAAGTGTGTTGTCCTATTGATAATGCATGTGTTATTGTTTTACTGTTTTGTTATTTTAAATTGCTTGTATTGTTATTGCTTGTATTGTTGTATTTTGGGCTCAGCCTCATGTAAGCCGCACCGAGTCCCTTGGGGAGATGGTAGCGGGGTATAAATAAAGTGTTGTTGTTATTATTATTATTATTATTATTATTATTATTCAAAAATACATCACACAGTCCTAGATGCTTGGGAAGTGTTCGACTTGTAATTTTGTGATACGAAATCCAGCATATAGATCTCATTTGCTGTGACATACTGTGTTTTTGTGTCAGTAAAATAATAATAATAATAATTATTATTATTATTATTATTATTATTATTATTATTATTTATATTCCGCTCTCTCCCCCTGAGGGGACTCAGGGCGGATCCCAACATACAAAAAGGCAAACATTCAATGCCTCGGTAAAACAAACAATACTGACATAACAATCCTGACTTAGGCCACATATATATATGTGTCAGGTTTTACAATGTATTGTAATGTAATATAGCTGAGTCATGCACTGCTAATAGGCTTCTATTGGAAATGCTGAGTCATGCATTAACTGTATATAGGGAATCATTTGGGGAATGTGTTCTGGCCTGGTCCAGGTGATTGTGAATGATGCAATCCTGGGTTTGAGTTAAGTCAATGAGTTGGGAACCAATCAGAGATTGCTATGTGTAATTGTATAGAATTGTATATAAGGAAGTCATGTACAGTGTATTCTCTCTCCTTGTGCTGTGATGCTGTTCGTCGAAGGCTCTATGTAATTGATTAAAAGAACCTGTCTGCTAAGACAAGATATAACTGTGTGCTGTGGTAAGTTTGTAATGTCATCTAGACTGGGGGAAAGACAATAGTAAAACTGACAATGGCCGGGCATGTGCTCAAGTGTCTGTAAAAGAGTTCCAGAGTGACTGCAGTCTGTGGGAGCAGTTGACTGAAAATACTGTGCAGGAAGAAGCTACTGGAAAGTGCTGAAGTTGTGCAACTGATCTGCTGCTGAATTGTGAAATTAATCCCAACAATAAGAGACACCATTTTATTGCTCCATTGTATAATGGGACATGTGTATCCATGGGTGTTGGTAAGGTCACCATAAATCAGAAATGACTTGAAGGCACACAATAACCAAAGTTTGGGGGTTTCAGCTTTGTGCTGAATACAGAAGGCTGGGGTCTGATAAAGTGACATAAAATGTAATACAAACCTAGATCCAGAGCAAAGTATGGTGTGCATTCCTCCGAACAGCCGACAAGCATGGAATTCTCTATCCTCTGTTCATCCTGATTAAATTCCACCAAAAACTGTTTAATTTCTAAAAACCAGAAGAACAGAAGGTAAGGTTTAAAGAGAGCTACATAAATGACCCAGTTGTGGGTCTTTGTTACAGCACTGCTGTCCTACAGTCACGACACAAGTTCATACCATAGGTGGCTTGTGGCCCTAATAAGACAAAGGGTGGCCCACACTGACTTGGTCAAACCGTGAACCACAAGTGATGTTGGGCAAACCACAGAACGTCAACGATGGACAATTTTACAATACTGGCTCTCTAAGGGTCCACTATAAGACTAATTCAGTTTGATAGCACTTTAATTGCTATGGCTCAACACTATGGAATTGTGGGAGTTTAATTTTACAAGTCATTCACTTTTTCTAACATGGAGTGCTGGTGTCTCACCAAACTACAACTCACAGAATCTCCTAGTATTGAGCCAGGCAACTTAAAAGGGTGTCAAATTACACAGATTCTACAATGAAGATGCATCATAAAATAGTAAAAAGTGGGTTGCTGTGAGTTCTTTGGGGTGTACGGCAATGTTCCAGTAGCATTCTCTCCTGATGTTTAACCTGCATCTATCCTCAGAGGTTTGTTCAGAGGTCAGTGTTTGACTCATCACTACACTACATTCGCACTATACAAATACAGTGCTAGGAATCCCAGGGTTTGTAGTTTAGTGCAGAACCAGATTTTCTAAGATAGCATTTCTCAACCTGGGGGTCGCAAGGGAGTGTCATAGAGGTTGGCAAAGACCATAGGAAAACACAGTATTTTCTGTTGGTCATGAGGGTTCTGTGTGGAAAGTGTGGCCCAATTCAATCATTGGTGGGGTTCAGAATACTCTCTGATTGTAGGTGAACTATAAATCCCAGCAACTACAACTCCCAAATGTCAAGTCTATTTTTCCCTGACTCCACCTGTGTTCACACTTGGCCATATTGAGCATCCATGCTAAGTTTGGTCCAGATCCATCACCGTTTGAGTCCACAGTGCTCTCTGGGTGTAGGTGAACTACAACTCCGAACTTCACGGTCAATGCCCACCAAACCCTTCCAGTATTTTCTGTTGGTCATGGGAGTTCTGTGTGCCATGTTTGATTCAATTCTATTTGTCGGTGGGGTTCAGAATGCTCTTTGATTGTAGGTGAACTATAAATCCCAGCAACTACAACTCCCAAATGACAAAAACATTTTTTTAGTGAAGGACATACATTGGGTTGTTAGATGTCTTGTGTCCAAATTTGGTGAACAGTGTTTAGAGAGATGTTCAATGTATTGTCAAAGGCTTTCATGGCTGGAATCACTGGGTTGTAGGTTAACTATAAATCCCAGCAACTACAACTCCCAAATGACAAAATCAATTCCCCAACCCCACCAGTATTCAAATTTGGGCATATTGGGTATTTGTGCTAAATTTGGTCCAGTGAATGAAAAATACATCCTGCATATCAGATATTTACATTACATTCATAACAGTAGCAAAATTACAATTACGAAGTAGCAACAAAAATAATTTTATGGTTGGGGGTCATCACAACATGAGGAATTGTATTAAGGGGTTGCGGCATTAGGAAGGTTGAAAAACACGGTGAGAATTGTTCATACCTCTCCCTAAACTCCCAGTTCTAGATCCTATGGGATATTGTTATGGAAGTTCAAGTGGAATATAATGTTAAAAATGCGTAGTGTGATTGATACCTTTCCTTTAGCACTCTTTCCATATTTATTACTTAAATTTAAGACCATGCAATAAAAGCATTTTATACCTTAGTGTATGGTACTTCTTCTAATAATAAAGTGTTCATTACTCTTGAAAATGTCTTTTATAAGGAAACGAATTACCTGCTGCATTTATCTTTGGGGCCCAGAACATTTTTTCCTTTGGCCGCAAGAGGGGGGAGAGGTTGTGAAACAGGAAAAAAGCTCCCGAATTATAGGCCTGATGACAAGCATTATCATTTTCTTTCAATTCGAACATGTATCTGCAGGTGGGAAAGGATCACAAAGAATTATGCTTTTAAAAGCAAAAATCACTGGATTTCTAAAAGTATAATTACAAAGAAAGTGATAAAAGAAAGGGAGGAAGAAATAGAAATCAGGATTACGTAGAATATGAACACGGTGTGTGTGTGCGCTTGTATGCTTTCAAATCACTTATCAACTGACGGCAGAAATCTTGTGAATTTCACAGGGTTTTCATAGGCCCCTTCTACACTGCCATATAAAATCCAGATTATTTTATTTGAACTGGATTATTACTTGCCTAAGCCATCCCCCATTGTCCGAGGATGATGGTCCTCCAGGTGACTGTGGAGCCCTATTCTTGATCTGCATCTTCTCCCGCAGTGAGGGCATTGGTTTCCAGGTGGAACGTGGTCCCACTCACGGTTGGCTTGACACGCCTTCCTCTTGGGTAACGCTTCTCTCTTTCGCCCTCCATTCATGCCTCTTCAAATTCTGCAGCACTGCTGGTCACAGCTGACCTCCAGCTGGAGCGCTCAAGGGCCAGGGCTTCCCAGTTCTCAGTGTCTATGCCACAGTTTTTAAGGTTGGCTTTGAGCCCATCTTTAAATCTCTTTTCCTGTCCACCAACATTCCGTTTTCTGTTCTTGAGTTCGGAGTAGAGCAACTGCTTTGGGAGATGGTGGTCGGACATCTGGACAATGTGGCCGGTCTAGCGGAGTTGATGGCAGAAGACCATCGCTTCAATGCTGGTGGTATTTGCTTCTTCCAGCATATTGACATTTGTCCGCTTGTCTTCCCAAGAGATTTGCAGGATTTTTTGGAGGCAGCGCTGATGGAATCATTCCAGGAGTTGCATGTGATATCTGTAGATAGTCCACATCTGGCAGGCATATATCAGGGTTGGGAGGACAATAGCTTTATAAACAAGCACCTTGGTATCCCTACGGATGTCCCGGTCCTCAAACACTCTCTGCTTCATTCAGGAAAAATGCTGCACTCGCAGAGCTCAGGCGGTGTTGAATTTCAGTGTCAATGTTGACTTTGGTGGAGAGGTGGCTGCCAAGGTAGCGGAAATGGTCAACATTTTCTAATGTTACACCATTAAGCTGTATTTCTGGCATTGGAGAGGGATTGGCTGGTGACTGCTGGAAGAGCACTTTGGTTTTCTCAATGTTCAATGACAGGCTGAGCTTCTTGTATGCTTCTGTGAAGGTGTTTAGAGTGGCTTGTAGGTCTTCTTCTGAATGCGCACAGACGACGTTGTCATCAGCATACTGGAGTTCTATAACAGATGTTGTTGTAACCTTGGTTTTGGCTTTCAGTCTGCTGAGGTTAAATAGCTTGCCATCTGTACGATAGATGATTAGCACTCCGGTAATCACACTTTTGCCTCATGTTGACCTTATGGTCTATTATGACATCCCTGTTTGGCACACTGAACTGGATTATACAGCAGTGTAGACTCATATAATTCCATTCAAAGAAGGATGATGTGGATTATCTACTTTGATAAACTGGATTTTATGGCAGTATAGAAGGGGTCTTAGGCCCCTTCTACACTGCCCTATATCCCAGGATCTGAATTCAGATTATCTGCTTTAAACTAGATTATATGAGTTTCCACTGCCAGATAAACTGGGATAAGATAATAATCTGGGATATTAGGGCAATGTGGAAGGGGCTTAAGGCAAGGAAAATTAAGAGGAGGGTGTCCCAGTTCCCTTCTTTAAAATTTAACCTCTATTCATTGCTGATCTCCCATCCAAGTACCAACCTGACTCTGTTTAACTTCCAGTATCAGAATGCCTTTAGGGCATAGACTAGAGACCTATATAATATTATTTTACCATATTTTCCCCTAAAAATTGATTCATGACATTTAGATGTATAAAATAAAGATATATCCATAGCTAAAGTAATACCTGTTGGAAAACAGATAGAGAATGTTCATCTTTCCATTGATTAATATCCATCCTTTCTCCTAATATGAGATCTATAGTGGTTTACAGCATGGATTAAATAAAAACAAAATTATGAGAAGAACAAAGGCTTTAAAAAAATCCGATTCAGAGACAAAATTCAACAATATTAATATAAAGGAATTTTAATAGCACATAAAGCATAACTGTGAAATAAAAGTCCACTGTGTGTGAGACTATTCAACTATAATAAATAATAAATAAATATTAATTTTTTATTTGTACCTTGCCACCATCTCCCCAAAGGCACTTGGAGTGGCTCACAAAAAGTACATAATAGTGCTGAACACACAACATACAATAAAATACGTAACAACTAAAACAATAACAAATTAAATTCACAAAAGAATAATTGCATAAAATAACATACAACTCTATCGATTAAAATCCAACAATGCCGCAAAACTGGAGATATAAGAGGCTGTGAACTGTCTTAATCGAGCTGAGGTTGCGCAATCAGTTAAACCCTTGTGCCGACTGAACTGCTGACCTGAAGGTTGAGTTGCTGTTCTGAAGGTTGCCGGTTCAAATTCATGAGACAGAGTGAGCTCTGGTCTCTCAGCTCTAACTTGAGGAGACAAGAGAGAAGCCTCCCGGCATCCCCTGTGCAACGTCTCTGTAGACAGCCAGTTCTCTCACACCAGAAGCGACTTGCAGTATGTTCTCAAGTCACTTCTGACATGATAAAAAACTGTCTTAGTCCATAACGTGCTAACGCAATCAATCACTAAGGCCTCAGGTTTAGTGAGTAAGGTGCTAATCATGGTCCAAAGGTTGTTACAAAAACCATGTTTTCAGTTGTGTCCGAAAAGCCTGAAGAATAACCTGATCTCCTTACGGAGGACATTCCAAAGCCCAGGGGAGGAGCCATCACCGAGAAGGCTCTCTCTCTCTCTTGTTCCCACCAACTGCATTTGAGATGGAGGTGGGACCGAGAGGAGAGCCTCCCAGGCAGATCTTAAAGCTTGCAACAGTTCATAAAAGGAGATATGGTCTTGAAGTTAGGCTGGATTATAACTATTAAAAAAACAACAACTTGGAAGTCCCTGAACAGACTCAGAAATGGAGTGGGCAGATCAAAACACAACCTGGCAAAATGGCACTACCTAAAAGAATCCCACACCTTGTGCGACTGTGGAGCAGAACAGACAACTCTGCATCTGTATGCTTGTCCATTATGCCCTGCCTCATGCACAGAGGAAGAATTGTTGGAGGCTACAAACAATGCTATTGCTGTTGCCCGTTTTTGATCAAACGATATTTAGTCACCTGTGCTCCTTCTATTTTTATCGGTTTTATACTAATTTATGCAATGCTTTTGATACATAATAATAAAAATACTATATCTATTTAACAAAAAATGCCCATTTAAACATAAAATGTTTTGTCTGCCATTGGGGGGAAAACACAGTCATTGAGAAGGTCCTCAACAAGAGAAGGCCTGCTATGAGGATCTCAAAATCAGCACATTCATATACCGGTAGGAAGATATGGTCCTTCAGATAGTCTGGACTTAAGCTATGAAGAACTTTATAGGTTGTGACCAGTTCTTTATTTTCCCTTCATGTCAGGAGTAACTTGAGAAACTGCAAGTCGCTTCTGGTGTGAGAATTGGCTGTCTGCAAGGATGTTGCCCAGGGGATGCCTGGATGTTTTGATATTTTACCATCCACGTGGGAGGTTTCTCTCATGTCCCCGCATGGGGAGTCGGAGCTGACAGAGGGAGCTCATCTGTGTTCTCCCCAGATTCGAATCTGCAACCTGTCGGATCTTCAGTCCTGCCGGCACAAGGGTTTAATCCACTGCACCACCGAGGGCTCCCAGATTATTCAGTAACAGACTGGTAGCCAGATTTATGTTCCTACCCTTTAAAAAAACCATAAGCAATAAAGTGATAGAACATTTCCAAAATATGAGATTAATACTTCATCATATTAGCAAAAAAGTAAGAGGGTAAAAAAGAAAATGAGAGCATTTGAAAGGATGAACCCGTCTTTCTATGAAGTCATAACTTACCTCATTCTCCTGACATAGTTTGAATTGAACCTGCAACATAATGATGTGGTTCTATACCCGGTCCGACACACCAAAAATATTGCCATCCTATGTGCTTAAAAAAAAACACCAGAAAGATATTTAAATGTAACAAGGAACTGTAATGATCAATTATTAATTTTTCCCACATGACTGCTAGAGAACTGTCTCACCCAAAGGAGAAAGAATGCATGAAGTCGGAGAAAAGGCATTTGAGAATACACTGCACTTTGCCCTGGAGAACATTAAGTGGAAGGCAGCTCACAATAGTTTCAGTTAAAGTTTTGTCACACGCACATACACACAACTACAGTATATTTATGCCTTCAAGTTGTTTCAGACTGATGGCAACCCTAAGGCAAAGCTATCAAGAAAGGAAATTCCATCTGAACATTAGGAAGAACTTCCTGACTGTGAGAGCTGTTTAGCAGTGGAACTCTCTGCCTGGAAGTGTGGTGGAGGCTCCTTCTTTGGAGGCTTTCAAACAGAGGATGGATGGCTATCTGTCAGGGATGCTTTGAATGCAATTTTCCTGCTTCTTGACAGGGCGTTGGACTGGATGGCCCATGAGGTCTCTTCCAACTCTATGATTCTATGGGATTTCTGAGGCTAAGGTCTGCCAGGGGGGGTTTCATAACAAAGTAAGGATTTGAAACCTGTTCTCCAGTTGTAATGCAATGCTCTAATGACAACATGATATAATGAGATAGATAGATAGATAGATAGATAGATAGATAAGATATATTATGTGTGTGTATCACATGTGTGTATGTGTGTGTGCGTATGTATACACACACACACACACACACACACTAGCCGTTCCCTGCCACACATTGCTGTGGCCCAGTCTGGTGATCTGGAAAAAATGAGAAAGTCTTTGTTTCTAATAAATGTAATTTCTTTCTGCTTGTGGGTAAACAGTATTTTTTGCTGTTTCTTTGTCCATGTTGATGTGGAGATGGTCTGGTTTGTCTACTCTGGAACATTCAACATTAATTGTCCTTCTTTAGGGGTCCCTTTCAAATCTATGATACTATATCTCTCTCTGTTTGTGAATCAATTCTATCTATATCTATGGCTGGATGGCTCTTTGTCAGGAGGGCTTTGATTATGTTTTCTTGCCCTGGTGAAGGGAGTTGGATTGGATGGCCTTAAGTATTTTCTGTTGGTCATGGGGCTTCTGTGTGGGAAGTCTGCCCCAATTCTGTCATTGGTGGGGGCATTCAGAATGCTCTTTGATTGTAGGTAGGCTATAAATTCCAGTAACTACAACTCCCAAATGTCAGGGTCTATTTCCTCCAAACTCCATCTGTGTACATATTTGGGCATATGGAATATTCGTGCCAAGTTTGGTCCAGATCCATCATTGTTTGAGTCCACAGTGCTCTCTAGATGTAGGTGAACTACAACTCCCAAACTCAAGGTCCATGCCTACCAAAACCTTCTAGTGTTTACAGTTGATCAAGGGAGTCCTGTGTGCCACGTTTGGTTCAATTCCATCATTGGTGGAATTCAGAATGCTGTAGGTGTACTATAAATCCCATCAACTACAACTCCCAAATGAAAAAATCATTTTTTTTGAGTGATGGTCACTCATTGGCTTAATAGGTGTTTTGTGGCCAAATTCAGGTTAAAGAAAATGTAATCAAAGCCCTCCTGTCATAAATATAGATAGATATGATTCACACACAGAGAGAGATATAGTATCCTAGATTTGAAAGGGACCCCTAAAGAAGGACTATGATATGTTACATATTCCAGAGTAGGCAAAACAGACAATGTCTACATCAACACTGACAAAGAAACAACAAATACTGCTTACCCACAAGCATAAAGAAATTGCATATATTAGAATCCAACATTTTCTCATTACTTTCTTTTCCAGACCACAGCAAAACATGAACCCTGAATGGAGGAAAACACAAGGTGAACTCCTGGAAAAGAAGAAACACCCAAACTGCGCTTGTTAGGCCCCTTCTACACTGCCACATAAAATCCTGATTATAATAATAATAAATAATAAAACTTTATTTATACCCCACCACCATCTCCCCAAGGGACTCAGAGTGGCTTACATGAGGCCAATCCCAACAACACATCAAAAACAAGCAATAAACAAAATAAACAACACAATTAATATAACTCACAAGTAGACAATAACACACAAGAATTTAAAAACCTATGGCTGGGCCAGATGTAATAGTTAAAACTTTAAAAAATAAATGCTGGACATGAACAGAGGATGTATCTGGGTTGTTGTAGGTTTTTTCGGGCTGTATGGCCATGGTCTAGAGGCATTCTCTCCTGACGTTTCACCTGCATCTATGGCAAGCATCCTCAGAAGTACCTCTGAGGATGCTTGCCATAGATGCAGGCGAAACGTCAGGAGAGAATGCCTCCAGACCATGGCCATATAGCCCGAAAAACCTAGAACAACCCAGTTATTCCAGCCATGAAAGCCTTAGACAATAAAGAGGATGTATCTATTTGGCGGGTTTTAAATCAAAAGTAAAGAGCAAAGAGTAAAATCAACCCAATGGGTAATTAAAGTGCTTCTCAGAGTATTTGCAGGAGACTGTTTCCTTTATTCAGGGAAGGTACACTGGAACAGCCTCATTTTCAGGCTCCTCCTAAAGACTGGCAATGTGGGGGCATATATATCCTTGGGGAGTGAGTTCCAGAGTCGAGGGGCCACCAAGGAGAAGACCTTCTCCCTCATCCCCACCAATTACACCTGCGGGGGAGGTGGGAGCAAGAGAAGGGCCTCCCCAGATAAACGAAGAGATCGTGTGGGTTCGTACACAGAAATGCAGTCACACAGGTAGACGGGTCCTAAACCGTTCAGGGATTTGTAGGTAAGAACCTGCACCTTGAATTGGGATCGGAAAATGAACGGCAGCCAATGGAGCTCTTTAAACAGGGGGGATGACCGCTCCCTGTAAGTCGCCCCAGTAAGTAACCTGGCTGCCGCCCGATGGAGCAATTGAAATTTCAGAGCCGTCTTCAAGAGCAGCCCCACGTAAAGTGCATTACAGTAATCCAATCTGGCAGTGTAGACTCATATAATACAGTTCAAAGAAGATGTGGATTATCTGCTTTGATAATCTGGATTATATAGCCATGTAGAAGGGGCCCTTGTTTCACTGGACATGATGAGACAAGGACACAAGTGGGTTGCTGTAGGTCTTTTCGGGCTGTATGGCCATGGTCTAGACTAGAGGCATTCTCTCCTGACGTTTCGCCTGCATCTATGGCAAGCATCCTCAGAGGTACTGAGGTCTGACTTGGCCACGGTGGTCCACACTTTGGTTACATCCCGTTTAGATTACTGCAACGCTCTCTACGTGGGGTTGCCTCTGAAGACTGCCCGGAAGCTTCAATTAGTCCAATGTGCGGCAGCCAGACTACTAACGGGAGCGGGGTACAGGGAGCATACTACTCCTCTGTTGCGCCAGCTCCACTGGCTGCCAGTCAGCTTCCGAGCACAATTCAAAGTGCTGGTCTTAACCTATAAAGCCCTAAACGACTCCGGCCCAATTTACCTGTCTGAACGTATCCTCCCCTATGAGCCATCAAGATTGCTAAGATCGTCTGGAGGGGCCCTGCTCTCGATCCCACCGGCCTCACAGGCGCGACTGGTGGGGACGAGAGACAGGGCCTTCTTGGTGGTGGCCCCTCGACTCTGGAACTCAGAACTGCCCCTTCTATCTTAACGTTCAGGAAACAGGTGAAAACTTGGCTTTGGGGATTGGCATTCGACGAATGAGCCATGATCCTGTGATATGGATGGATGACGACGAATAATAATTTTTGATAACGACTGACCACTGTAATTATATGATTGTATTTTGCTATTTTAATGTTTTGGTGTGATTTAGAATATGATGTTTTAATGACTGTCTGTAATATTGATGTTGAAAACCATCCTGAGTCGCTCGAATGGAGGTGAGAAGACCGGTATACAAAACTGATAGATAAATAAATAAATAAATAAATAGGAAAAAGGGTTTATATATCTGTGGAATGACCAGGGTGAGACAAAGGACTCTTGTCTGCTGGAGCTAGGTGTGAATGTTTCAACTGACCACCTCGATTAGCATACAATGGGCTGACTGTGCCTGGAGCAAACTTTTGTTGAGAGGTAATTAGATGTCCCTGCCTGCATTTTATTTGAGAACACAGAAATGCTGGACCACTCTCACAACCACCATGTCAGACTACACAGCGAAGCCATTGAAATACACAAGCATGTGGACAATTTCAACAGAAAGGAGGAAACCATGAAAATGAACAAAATTTGGCTTTCAGAGTATTAAAAAAAACTCTGAAATTGCAAAAGCACAACAACAGAGAGGAAGCAGGCAGGGACATCTAATTACCTCTCAACAAAAGTTTGCTCCAGGCACAGTCAGGCCATTGTATGCTAATCAAGGTGGTCAGTTGAAACATTCACACCTAGCTCCAGCAGACAAGAGTCCTTTGTCTCACCCTGGTCATTCCACAGATATATAAACCCTTTTTCCTAGTTCCAACAGACCTCACTACCTATGAGGATGCTTGCCATAGATGCAGGCGAAACGTCAGGAGAGAATGCCTCTAGAACATGGCCATATAGCCCGAAAAAAACCTACAACAACCCAGTGATTCCGGCCATCTGTTAAAATAGTGCTACTTCTAAACAAACAAACAATGAATCTCTGTGGTTAAAGGGAACTTTTCTGAATTTTTAGGAACTTTTTCTCGAGAGGATCAACATTCTGACTATAATTTTCCTACTCTCAAAGATGGCATCTACTAAACTGCTATAGATTTTGAAGTTAAGGGAAATGAAGGAATGAATGCATCTGCCATTCACTTACTTTCCGCCCACAGGAAGCATTTCCCAATCTCTCCTCCGGAATGAGCCAAATAGATTTGACCCGAGAGGACTCTGCCCAGTTTGTCTGCTGATTGAAAATACACTTCCCACAATCCTTTGTCCGCCAAAGGAACTCTGGGAAGTGTAGTTCCGAAAGCATACATCCGGCAGCATATCTATTAGTAGAACTAACAGAATCTATGCAGACTGACC